TCCTGTCATGACAATAATACCTAACCACATATCCCTTTTAAACAGTTTTCTCCCTCATCTGTCTCAATGCAGTATACATTATTTATCCCGTCTTTCTCAGTCTCCCCCCTTTATAGTATTAAAAACAAAGATGAGGTGCCTAACCAAAGCTGTGATCTTTTCAGTTGTTCAGATGTATGGGAAAATGGGAAAACTGAACAATCATCAAGGAAGACTGAAGAATTGATGCTTTTAAATATGGTGTTGATGAAGAATCCTGATTATACCACGGACAGCCTGAACACCAAACAAATCTGTCTTGGAAGAATAGCCAGAGTGATTCTTAAAGGCAAGGGTGAAAAGAATCAGTCTCATGTACTTTAGACAAGTTAGGAGTCAAGAAATCATAGTGTGTGTTTGACTGGGGAAATCTGATGTCAGGGAGCTCTCCTAAGGTCTAAAGTGCAAGGAAAATACGCCAGTTTAAAACCTAAGGTGCGCCTCATACAAGCCATAGTATTTTCCACTGTTTCCTATGCATCAGAAAGTTGGGCAATAGAAAAAACTGAAGAAGGATCAATGCCTTTGAATGTGTTGCAGAAGAGTATTGAATAGACCATGGACTGACAAAAGAAAAGGGGGGAAAGCTCATTGTCTTTTGAATGGCTTATGACATGAACAAGCATTTCTCATGCTGACCCTAAATCTACTTCCTGTTCACTTGCATTGTTGTTGTGTGGTGCCGGCAAGTTGACTATGACTCCTTGGCTCCGTTTACTACTTTGAAGAAGATAAAAGTTAAGTCCGGTATCTACACGCCAGTAATTAACAGTCTGAGTCTCCATTTCTATCCATTTTTACAATGCCAATCTTCACCCCACGTATTCCTCAATGGTGTGTCAACGTACCCGCTTATGTCACTGAATATTACTAGTAGTCGAGTGTGCTGTTTTTGTTAGGTGTCATCAATTTGAATATAACTGATAGGAACTCTATAAACAACACATCCTGTGTCGTCTTCACCATCTCTGACACATCTGAGTAGATTACTTCAATCACTGTGGCAACTTATCTGGTTGAGGATCTTTTTCTAATTTGCTGACACCACCACCACCTTTCTAAAGCATCATGTCCCACTCTTAAGAACAGCCTGTCCTAACAACATGCCTAAAGTATGTGAGACGAAGCTTTGTCATCTTTGCCTCCAAGAAGCATTCTGGATAAACTGTCATCAAATCACCAAGACATAACTGCTTGTTCTTTTGGAAGTCCATAGGATGTTCAGTGCTCTTCTCCAAGACCACAGCTAAAAGACATTGACATCCCTTGTTTATTATCCAGCTCTCGGATACACAGCAACTAATAGAAAATGTTGTGACCTGAATCAAGCACATTTTTGTCTTCAAACTGACATCATTGCGCCACAGGACTTTGGAGAGGTCCTTGACAACAGACTTTCCCAGTGTACATCCCCTGATCTTCTGACTGCTGGTACTAAGCATATTGATTGTGGATCCAAGTAAGATTAAACCATTGACAAATCCAATCTTTTGTCCAATCACGACGTTACTTATCAGTACAAAGGTGAGTATCTTTTTTTCTTGAAGTTGAGATGCAAACCATATTGACGCTGTAGTCCTTGATCTTCTGTAGGAAGCATTTCAAGTCTTCCTCACTTTCAGCAAGCAATGTTGTGTCACATGTATAATGCAAACTGTTGAGTCTTCCTCTGATCCTAAAGCCACATTCTTCTTCAGAGTCGAGTTTACAAAATTATTTGCTCAGTATATACAGCTTAAATAGGCATGGAGAAAGCCTCATGTGCTAGAGATTAACAATTAGTTTTCCCCTAATATAAACAATTGGTCTAAAGAGAGCACCAAATGAAAACCCATCAGAGGCCAGGCAGGTAATACAGCTCTCCAAGGCATCAGCAGGTAACTAAGGCCCCAGGGAATGGTGACAACTGTGATGAGCTGAAGAAGGACTTACCAGCCTGAGCCCTCACTTCTCAAATAGTGAGCACACTAGCAAGACGCATCCTTCATGTCTAAGACTTCAGGGCACATTCCTCGAAGAGGAGACAAGGTGGAGTAGTCTTCTGTCATGCTAGGGAACTCCATCAAGTTGTCATGGAAATGCAGCCAGTCTCCTTCCTATTCACACCATTGGGTAGTGTCAGGTGGACCCAATGCCCGGTGACCCCAGAGGAGATCACTGTGTCTTTCTCCTGGGGAGTAGCTAGGAGGTTTTGAAAACCAGTCTTTCCAATAGCAGCCAAGTGATGAACCATTGCACTGGCAAGATTCCTTTCCTTTCACAGAGAACCACAGTGTGTGTGAAGGAGGGTCACAAATCTTATTGCTTGGTATCCTTTTTTTATTATTTAAATGCAATTTTTATTTTATACTGGTTTACTTACTAAGTTCGTATACATTGTTTTTCACACCAAATCCCCCTTCCTTGACCCACTCTCTCTCCACTCATCAAATTGTGCGACCCTGTGATTAACACACACACACCCCACATTCCCACCCATCTGCAACCACCATCCACCTCTTGGATCTTCATACTCATTCTACCGTAAAGGTCTTACACAGTATTTGTCCTTATGGGACTGAGTTAGTTCACTTTACTGCTCAGTATCCTATATCAGGTGAATTTGTTCTGCACCAGACAGAATAAAACACAGCAAATCAGAAATGATACATCATGACCAATCAGTATCATTCCTAAATAAAAAAATAAGGAACAATCATTACATAATATAAAAAAACCCTCTACTAATACTTTTCCCTCCACTCTTTTTCAAGATATAAAAGTTTGAAAGAAAAAAAAAATAATGGTGTGGTTCTTGTTTTTTAAAGAAAAGAAAGTCCCCGTGCTTCCTCCACAGAACATGCGCTGCTCTGGAAGCTGTCTGTCTCCCTAGTCCCCACACAGCCCAAGCAGGGCCAACTGACAGGAAGCAGATACTGTCTGTGGCTGTGGCTCAAGACTGGGGCTGGGCTGAGAGGGTTTGGAACCATGAAGGTGAAGTTATGTGCATCAGACTACAATGCCCTGATGTAATCACCACCAGCTCCAGAGCTTAGAAGGAGAGTCTGAAAAACAGATCAAGTCATTTCTCCGATTGGCAGAAATGCAACATGTCTTTATGACGACACAGCTATAAAGCATTTGATGCACGCTCTTTATACCTAGTCAATAATTACATGTAGTTTCCCCAACGGTGCAAACAGTTAATGCTCTCCGCTGAGAACAGAAATTGTGTCGGTTTTAGTCCCCGGGGAGGCTCAAAGAAAGGTTTGGCAATCCAGTTCTGAAAAAAAATCCATCACATTATGGTACCCCCTCTGCTCCAACACTCACGGGGTCGCCATGCATCAGAATCTCCTGAATGCAACCAGTCAGTTGGTTTCTTTGATGAGTTGCATGGAAGTCAGAATTTCCTGCACTGAAAACCCCACAGAGCCTTTGGGTTTGAGCCTACTTGGCTGTTTAATTATTAAATCATTCTTCACAAGTTTTCAACACTCTCTGTACAAGGTTAACTTCCACACTGACATACACACAACAGTGAGCAATTAATTACTTTGCTTGCTTACCTGTCTCTGTTGTCTTGGATCCCACTGGCTTGTCTGGGATGGGGAGATGGTCCACGTTGCTACTCACTGAAGAAGTATCGTCACTAGACAAAGAGTTCCTGAATCCACTCTCCGAGATGGTATCATCCTGGGTACTGGGACCGCTGGCCTCTGAGGGGAGAGGCGAGTGGACCCGCACAGCCAACGCTGCGGGCTGTCCAGTGTCTTCAGCAGCAGAGGATCTGTTAACCATGTCGGACCAGGACTGCCTTCCTTTACATGAGGAGGAGGAAGAAGGGCTGCTGGACTGCTTCCTTGCGTCGTTCCGGGAAGGGGAGGAACAGGATGCTCCACTCAGCTGAGGAGAGGATGAAGACACCTGCTGTGCAGCCTAGTTTTCACAAAGAAAAGCAGAGGAAATGAAAATAAGTCACAATTAAGCCAGCATTCTCTACGTTCCATTTTTTTATTATTATTGATTTTAATAAAAATTTACAGAGACTTTTTATCTTCATTCATTCATTGTTGCACTTTTCTCCCTGCCCACACCTCCCTCTCCCCAATGTGCTCTTCTCTTTGAAAAGTAAAATTCTTTCATTGTTATACAATCCCTCCCCCCAAGTCCACTGCACTATGCAGCCTTCGTTCTGGACTCCTGTCATGACAGTAATACCTAATCACATATCCCCTTTAAACAGTTTTCTCTCTTATCTGTTTCAATGCAGTATACATCATTCATCCCTTTCTTCAGTGAAGGTTCCCCTAGTGTTCCAATGAGAAAGAATCAAAAGACAAAATGTACGCTATTTCTGTCTTTAGACAGGCACCATGGCATCATTTTCCAGAACTGACTTGTCTGCTTCTGAATTCACTGTCCCAGGACCCAGGCAAAGTTCATATTGTGGGATTAGCCACCAGGGGCTCCATGCAAGAAAGATGCACCAACTCCTCTGGTTAAGATCTGCAGCCTCGGAAATCAGAGGATGCATCCCTGTGAGCTGAAATGGACTCGATGTCAGGGAGTTGGGTTTTGGTAGGAAAACCTCTGTGCTGAGGGGCATAAGATCAGAATGTCAAGGCAGAAGCCACATGGGAAGTAAAGCCCTGTTAACTGGGTGGAGATCAGTGGTGCAAGCAAAGGACATCTAGTCTCTCAAGTATCTTAGCACATGATCAGCACAAGTGCAAAACCTTCACAGTTAAGGTGCAGTAAGGTTAATTCATTCTCTCTCGAATTTAGAATTGTCATGAAGTTTTATCTCAGAAGGCTGAAGTCTCTAAAGTCTCCTAACTCATCAGAGAGAATGCATAAATTACCCCACAGACTAGTAGAGGTAGATTGATGGTTAGGAATCATCTGACAGCTCTTCCTAAAGTCTTTGGAAAAAACTATTACCAGGCCACAGAGACATCAATGTACCATCATCAATTGTCCTCTTTTTATTAAAGACTTCGTTTCTTAACTTACAGAAGCAAGTGGAATTGCTCCATGGGTTTTCCAAAATTGTTATATCTTTATGGAAGCAACCACATCTTTTTCCCACCAGGCTACTGGAATGTTCTAATTGTCAGCCTTTCAGCTAGAAGACAAGCCCTTAACCACAGTGCCACCAGGTTTCCTTACATTCTTGTTTGTTGTCATCTGATGTGAACACACACGCTTTCTCCAATATTCAGTAAGGGAGTGATAAATGCAGTATCACTAATGAGAAGACATGGAGAGGTACACAAGGGACACAGTCAACACAATAAGGAAAAAACAACACTCAATGAGTGGTTTATTTGACACTGTAACTAAGTATATTAACCCACCACAAAATGTCTGTGAATTATTATATGAAAACCCAGTATTGTTTGTAAACTGCCACTCAAAAATTAATTCAGTAGATATTATTATATATATAATCCTGCATTATCAGTAATAATAAATATCGATCTACAGGTGGTTACATAGGCAGACAGGAAAAACAAACAGCTACGGGTAGGTTAAAGAGACCATAACCATGGCTATATGTGGTTACATAGGCAGACAGGAAAAACAAACAGCTACGGGTAGGTTAAAGAGACCATAACCATGGCTATATGTGGGTCTGGTAAACAATATATCCATGTATTTAGTAGCACCAGTAGGAGGCAAAGATATATAAGCTCCTTAATCAGAATCAACTGTCCTGAAGGAATGAGTGACTAGTCCTGGAGTCTTAGGACCATAGTCAGATGGGCATCAAGGTCAGTTGATGAAACAACCAAGTCCACAAAGACACTGTTCTATCTCCTACGTTGATGAGTAGTGACTGGGGTCTTAAAAGCTTGTGAGTGGTCACAGTTCACACCTACTGGGCAAAAGAAGAAGGTGGAGAAGCAAAAGTGCACCACACTAACTTCAACTTCCGTTTCCCTGAGATCAGAAGAAATAGATGGTGCCCAGCTACCACTGCTGACCACTCTGGAAGAGATCACAGTAGACAGTCTGGGTGGTGTGTGTATAAAAAGCATGAAGCAAAATGGCCATGCGTACTGTTCTGGTGGAGACCGGTGGACTCCTTTGAAGATCCTCCGTGAACAAAACCCAGCTATGTGATTCTACTCTGACATTCCCAACATTCAGCTTTCAGCCAAACAACAGATAATCTTACATAGCACCTAATAGCAAATAAGGGGAGCAATCACATCAGAGAAGTAACCACCCCTTAGAACAATTCATCAACCATACAAGATCAAAAGAGCAGCCTGGACTCAGGAGTAGAGGCAGGAAGAGATAATATAGAAAGAATGATGGAAATAAGTGTCAGGAGGAAGTAGAGCAAAGGGCAGATACATTGTAAGAATTGAAATTAAAGTCATAAACAAAACTATATATGCATACTTGCAGGCGGAACCAATGTCTGTGGTAAACTTTCACATCACAATGTAATTAAATAAGACTTGTTAAGGAAATAGTGACAGTAGATAAGCTTTTGTCTTTTTGTGATGTTTTTATTGTGTTACATAGCAAAACACAAGCTGGTAGCTCTGCTCCAAAATCCTTAAAATCACTACAACCAACTCAGAATGTTTAGCTTTGCTCCAAACTCCTCTGTCCCCCAAAATTTTACGGGTTCTAAGCGCTAAGTTCTAATAGGAAAAGTCAGTATTTACCCAATGTGTGTCTAAATGGTTGCCTATAGGTATGGACTGTCAAATAATCAATAGCCAGTACCATAACATTAAGTGGCGTAACACTAAAATGTTTCATTAAGATGCTAATTTGTCACCTCCATCTTCTCAGTAGTGATGGATTTGCATTGATGTGACGTTTTCCCATTCCAAAAAGTACCACGTGGCTTGGGAACTGGTTGCCTTCCATCACACAGATTGCTTAACAACCAAAAGATCAAAGATCTATAATTCACTAATAAGGCCCTAGTGATCTGAAGGAGGCGATGCACACCCCCGCTCTCCACATAAATAAGAGGAATGGCTTACTCCCAACAGGACCTAGAAAACAGACAATCACACCCTGGCTCAGTCCTGGCGCGTTCCCCTGCCGAGAGCTATTTTGGTAAACCTCAGCTTCCACGTGATTGATTTCACATTCTGCAAACAGACCAAGCTCAAGCCTGTCCTGTCACTTTGCTGGTACTAATCGGATTATAGCAAAATGAGCTATTTGAGCAGAAAATGATGTATGTAGTTCCCGAAGCATTTTCTGGAAACTCTTTGGAACCTCAAAACTCTGCTTAAATTACTAAGACCAGTTCAATAAGGCTCAAAATATCTGCAAAGTGTATTACTGGTTTGATCCTGCTCAAATGAAATGTCAATTCTTCTAATCTATTGCTTCTAGGCACCATAGGACATTTATTAATTTTATTTTTAAATGAGCAAAAGCAGAGTCAGAGAGAAGAGAAGGAGAAGACGAAAAAGGAGGAGGATGAATGACGGGAAGACTGTTGTTGGTGGTGCTGGTTTTATGTGCCCTCCAGTCAAGTATGACTCCTAGTGACCCTAAGAACACAAGATCTGAACCATGTTCTATCCTGCACTATCCTCAAACTTCCTGGCACACACGAACCCACCGTAGCAATCACTGTGTCAATCCACCTGACTGATGGCCTTTCCCTCCTTCGCTGACCCTCCACCCTTCCCAGCATCAGGTGGCTCTCCAAGGAATAACCCCTTCTAACAACATGCCCAAAGTATGGAGGCAAAGCCTCATCATTCTTGTCTCCAAAGAGCACTCCGGCAGCACCCTCTCCAAGACATATCTGTTCGTTCTCTTGGCCGTCCATGGGATGTTCAGTGCTCTTTTCAACACCACAACTCAAAGGCATCAATTCTTTTTCTGTTATCTTAATTCATTGTCTATCTCTCAAATGCATAGCAAGTGATCAGAAAGACTATATGACCTGAATCCGACAGACACACCTTAGTCTTCACACTGACATCATTTCTCCTCAATAATTTGGAGAGGTTCCAAGCTGCAGATTTTCTCCATGTAAAGCATCTCCTTATATCCTGACTGTTTGTACCAACGGTGTTAATTATGAGAAGAATGGGGAAGAAAATGAGAAAAGGCTCTAAGCTCACTTAGAGTCCCTGGGTGATGTCAACAGTTAAGTGCTCAACTACTAACTGAATGGTTGACAGTTCAAACTTACCAAAGGTGTTATGGAAGAAAAATCTAACAAAGTGCCTCCAAATGCCAGAGCCTTGAAAACCCCACTGAGTAATTCCTCTCTAACATATATAGGGTCTCCAGGCAACAGCTTTGGTTTGGTTTGGTTTGGTTTGGTACCAAGTCTAGAAGGACTTTCCATGGGACTCAGATGGGGACAGAGACAATGTAAATAAAAATAAACTTGAGTTCCATTATGGAGGAGTCAATACCTGGAAATGCTTTATAAACAATATAGCCATTACGCCACAATGATGATGATGTCTACTATTCCACTGTTACCAACTGCCACCTGCCAGAGAAGAAACTCTTCATTTAATGGCTATGAGGAACCATGCAAGCAACTCACTCATAAAATAAAAGTAGACTAAAGAATTACAATCTCTTTAATCCACTCCTTTCTTTAAGGGTCATTTCCTACCAGACACCTTCTCTGACCGTCTCAGTGAGGTAGGCCCTTTCCCCAGGGTTCCTTTAGTTGCCTTATCATATTGTTGTTGTTGTTGTTGTACCATCGATTCAGAAGTGGCCCACATCTGACTCTTCAGCAGTTTTCAGAGGCAGTTAGTCCTATGGGAGGAGATTGCCCATCCTCCTCCAGCAGAGCAGACGGTGGATTCGAACTGCATGCCTTCAGGATTGCAGTGCAGTTTCTTTCGTCATATTGGAGGGATGTAACTTTACTTTCTGCCTGGGACTATAACGTTGATTGAGTTTTGTTTGTTTGTTTTTTG